CTTGCTAATTTGAAAGAAGAAAATAACGTTTGGAAAGTGGTAAAGTGTGAAAACTGGCATGCTGAAACCCTGATTTGGGAGTCAGACACCCAAAASCTTGCCTAGGTCCATGACCCCATTCCCACCCACTGTCCCATGAAAGTCCTACCCAGCCTTTCCCTAAACCCACCAGGTCCTTCACTGTTGAACTGGAACTTCCTTGGGTAGCAGCCACCAGGCACATGTTCACACATACTCCTTCTGGTAGATGCCCACGTTTCACTCACAGGCAGAGCCATGTCCTGAACTTTGCCTGTGTCTTGTGCAGAAGCCCCCAAAAAAAGGCAGTTCTGATGATGGTGGCAGTGGCAGGGTTCTGTACTGCAGCCCTGCATTCAGGTAATTCATCCAGGGAAGGCACACCACCCCAGGAATAATCTGGCTATAAGGATGAAAGGTGTTCTGCCTAAGTGTCCATGGAAGTGAGGCTACTCTGTAATCAGGAATGCAAGAACCACGAGGATAAAAGGTTGGACAGAAAAGGGGGATCCTGGCTCCATACTAGAAATCTGGACACTCAGCTTTTAGAGGGGAATAGTGAAAGGTCTATTTCAGTATCCACAGCTGTTTCTGGCTTGATTTTGCTAGAGGGAATGGAGCCTACAGTTCCAGTCTTGTCCATGTTCAGGCAAGGATAAAGGTTCTTCTTACCTCCTCTCTTTCCCCCTACTATGACTTCTGAGTTTCTGTCTGTACAACTGCCCATAATCAGCAAAAGGGAGATGAGACACTCCACTGCTCCCCCAGACCTTATCTGATTAGGTCTGCACCAAGGATCCCAATGAGATTAGCCTTTGCTGAGAACCTACACCTCAGGTCTTCCCCTCTGTGGATGAGCTAGTAAATGAAGCTCATTTGCAAAAATGGCAAACTGCTGTTACTGCTGCCAGCTTGTTTGACAAAAGAATCATCTCTGCTCCATTATAATCCAGAAAGGGTGACATAGACTACCTGTGAGRGAAAATGATGCTTTTCTTTCCTACCGGTTCCCTATATAGTTCATAATGATTGACCTGATGTAACTGGGCTGTATTCCCATAGTAGGACTTCATGTTCCCCAGGCCACCAGCGAAGTATACACCTAACCTGGATGGGTAAGAGCTCCTTTCTGATTGTTGCTGAGACATGCAATTGCCTCTAGTGACTATAAAGAGGAATTCAAGTGCTTTTCTTCAGAGATCAGATCAACCTGAAAAGCTTAACCTTAACATACAGGTACAAGTTTCTGTTCACAGTGAGGCACCAGTGCTACTTGCTCAGACATTAGAGAAGTTTTACGAGAGTGTAACAGAGACACCAGTGCTTCTACTGCAGCACAACATAGTTCCACTCTATCTGAGAGAGGGAATGAAAATTTCATAGTAGGTGTGACTAGGCTGAACTTTACTGGAAGTATGCAGAATGTTAGCGACCTCCTGATTTTGCAGTTTTTCCCACTGAAAGTAATGTTTATGYACTGAGCTGTATGAAGGAAAATATGTAGATTAGGGAATTGCTTCAAATGCTTCAGCTATTCCAGATGCATTAATTTTTCATTACCTCATTTATGAAAAAAGAAACCAAATCGACAACAAACTAAAAAAAAAAAAAGCCCAATAAAAAACTTGAGGTAAAACTAAAATGTAAAATGAGGACATTCCAAATCAGGCAAAGAGAAGATCAAGCATTTTCTGCTGRCARTGCTCCTAATTATTACCAGTAACTTCCTATTTATTATTATCATCATCATTATTCTTTATCCTGTTCTTTAAAAATTATCCAGATTACCTCTGCAAATGATGCTGCTTTTATTTTTTGTTTGACAGATGCTAGATTCACTTTWGGCTGAAAGCAATCAAAGTTTAGACATAAGAAATGTATCTTTTAAAGACTGTGCTCTGCAGTTAACAATTTGGTTCTGGAGATGAATTGCAAGTACAGACTTGGGCCTCAACATTCTTACTAACTAATGGGAATCCTAACAACTAAAACAGTGCACTCTGCACTGCAATGCTCATTTGCTCATTTTCTTTTTGAACTGGTGACAAGCGAGAGCAACTGCTTCAAATTAGTCTTAACTTATTCAAATTAGGAATAAAACGSAACGCTGGAAATGTTCATCTTTGAATAGTGGAGAGTCAAAGCGAACTAAGGTGAAAATGATGTCYGGCAGAATAATTCAGATCAGGAAAGTCATCCAATTCCAGAGCAGCTTGACCTGAACACAGCCCCCGAGGCAGTGCCACAGCTGCCAGGTAGACAGTAGCCAAGAAGATAGCAGAGGTGAAAGCCAAGAAGCCAGCCATGAACCCACACGCCTATGCAGGAAAGGTGTGTTCTAGAATTTGGCATCTGGGTCCTCCAGCTGCCAAACATCTCCCATCTGTCTGAGCCTGTGCATGAGGTGTTAAAAAGAAGATCGGGGGAGATTATACAAGAGCAGAAGCAGTACTGTTTGCACGACATCCAAGATGAAGACACACAGCATGCTCGCAAACACGTGAAACTCACACACACTATCACTTTGTCCCCAGTGAAATGGTGGATCAGAGGAAGTAGGATRGACAAAATGCTCAACATTTTACAGGAAATGAACAGTTTAGATGTGCATGAACTGAAGCAACAGTCCCACCTCTGGCCATCCACAGAGGCCAGAAGGTGCAGGTTTGTATGGAATTGGTTTTGAGTAAAGCTTACAACTTTTAGTAGATTTCATGAACCCAATTAAAAAAAAATGGAAAAAAACCTAGAAAAAAAAGTTTCTTCAAGACTTCATGATCTGCTCTATTCCTCCATAATCACCAAGAAATTGAAGTATCAAAGAATTTTCTGTACTTTCATAACTGGAACACCACAATTTTGAGCATAATTTTATGGAAGGGTAACTTTCTTGCAATTTAGTGGAAAAAGGTAAGTTCAGAAACACAAGCTGAAAAATACCCAAACCTAGGTAGGAATGAAATTTAATTCAAATTAAATATATCAACTCACACAGTTGTATTTAATTGTACCAGAATTCACCTCTGAGGAGCAGTTAYTGTTCCTGAACTCCAGCAATGCCATACCCCAAGAAGCAGGACTGGCTGTGAGAAACACCCTTAGCAATGTCAGCAGTTTCAAGTGCACCGTAAGGATTCATACGTTCAAATAATGCACTGACTTTAATGTTAATTTCATTGATCTCATTTCCAYCTTTCAATCTACAGGCAGGTCCACGTGGCCCAAATGAGGTTTGACAGATGTGACTTCTTGATTTATTTGATCCTTYATTTTAAAAACACATAAAAACCTTACAGCTCATTTCCAAATTTCTGTTTTTATTAGAACATATTTGCCTTGCCAAATAYTACATTTCAGTCTCATCTCACCCCAGTCAGAGCACAATAACTTTCAGCAGTTTGGAATTGCTTCATGAGATAACTTTTACCATCTTCATCTACATCTAACCATGCAYATTTTTCAAAGGGCCTCATTCGGAGGATCTCATATTCATTACTATGGTATGTGTGTATTGACATTGAAATATTGACATTTAAAAAGAAAAARAAGTTAACAACTTAAGATTCCTTATTGAAAATGCTTCCTGAAGAATAGAAGCCAATTCACAGAATATTATAGTTTATTTTGGCTACTTTTAGCTAAAGAAACCTATATTAAAAATTATATCTGAACTATGCATATATTTTAGAAACAACATTTTGAGAGACTAGCATGCTCTTCAGAATAATTTCTGAGGTTGCACTGATAATTCAATCAGATYAAAGAAAATTCTAAGGATTTTAAAAAATAAATGTATCATTTCAATTTCATAGCCAAGGAAACCTTAAGAGCTTTGTATTAGCTTTAACAGAGAARTTGCTCCTGCTACTTCTCTGAAAATGTTCGAGTAATAAGATCCTGCAAATTTTTAATATAAATATACCAGTTGTAGTGTAATTAACTGCAAATTGGAGATAGGAGCAGACTTGAGGAATGACTTCTGTATTTGACTACTCATTAGCAATTTGAAAGTGTAATTGCTCTTAAACATTACTTCTTCCTAATTTTATTATGAAGCTTAGCTGTACTTATAAATGAGAAGAATTTGATTTATTCTGCAACTTATTTGCTTATATTGAAAGCGTGAAATTGTTTTTCCTTCTGTACTCTGCAGACAGAGGGCACAGGCACACAGGACACGAAGAGTAGATAAAGCAGTGAGTTGATGGGTYTACATTTGTCCCATGATAAACACAACCCCAAAGGAATCTTCTGAGGGGCCCAAAAACAAACAAAAGAAGGGAGGAGGACAGGCAAGAATGCAAGCAAACACATAGAGTGGACTATTTAAAATCTAGTAAAGCAATAGCAATGAATCCCACAAAAACAGGAACCCTACCAGCTTTGGTGCATCCTTCTGTCATATTTCTACCTGGGCAAGTGGGGTGAACCCGAGGGCCCTTATGGCATCACAACACTTGCTGAAGCCTCCCTGTCACCCCACACTGGATTGGCACATAAACCCTGCACCTGAAGCAAGGCATCCACTAGGCACATTACACAGTAAGGTTTTAAAATTTTGCCCTCCTTGAAATAAAAGCAAGGAGATGTTTGTAAAGAATTCTTCCTACGTTTTACAGCTCTGCTTCATGTCCCATTGTAACATGAGTTACACTGATCCACATTAACTTCATTACTCAATTTCAGTAAACTATTTTTAACATTTTAAGCTACCTTATTAAACACCAGACAAGATATTTTCTTTTTCTATTCTCATACTTTAAACATTGGGATTTGTGGAAGAAAAAATAAATTGCAGCTTTCCCACCACCCTCTCAGCCCCTAAATAGAAAAAGCAATTGCAAAATTCAACTTCAGATCTTGCCTATCCCCACACATTCCCCAGTCATGGCATAAAGAGGGAAAGAAACCTGAAAAGCACCRCTACTAGACTATATCAATAAAACAGAACATTATATAATACACAATAAAATGCTTCATACCTGGAGTTGAAAAAACGAAAAGGGTTAACAGCTGACCTGGCACAGCCCCACATGCTCTCTCTGGAAATTGAACACAGACAATTAGGAATTTTAAGTTACCCCAAATAATCGAAGGGGACTTAGACAAGTTTGAGSAACACTTACTGCAAAAGTAAGTAAGGCTCATAGACTCGGCATGGAAGGCACTTTAGGATTTGCCCACTCWCTCAATTCTCTTCTTAAACTGAATGTCTCTGTAGATGTCCCAGCTAATGACAAGTCATTAGGAGCTCTGTGATTAATTTTCATGGGGGCAAAGTCAAAGCTTAAAGGCCCACATGTCACTCTGCTGTAATTCTGGATCATGATGGAYAATATTTTCATATTATAAGATAATCAGTGACAAAGAGGTAAACTCTAACGAGAATCTACAACAGGCAGACATTGCATGAAGAGGAAATAGTGGCTGGAGTGAATGTCTGCTCACAGAATTCTGCTGCATAAGTAATACTATTCCCAACACAATAGTAAAAAAACTTAGGCTTTAACATTTTTACTTAGAACTGGGACTCTAGGGARAATCGTCAATCTTCTAAAATATTATTCTGAGTAATGAACAACACAAACATACAGTGCCATAGCTGTATCAACTCCTATGCTGGTTGAGATTTGGACTATGTAAAATGCTCCTTTTCACTGACAAATTCTGATGTACTGCATATGCTCAAACAAGAAGTATCACACAGATGGTTTCTGGAAACAGTTCCATCAAGTTAGGGAAAAAAAAATAACCTACAGAAAGCCAAGAATAAAAAGCCAAGTCCCCTTTAGTCCTTCTCTCTGTGGCTGATACCTCAAATGTACTATSAAAGTAGTCTGAAGCCAATGCACAAGAAACTAGCAAAATACTGGAATAACAATATGAATAATAAAAAAGTTCTAGCACACTAGCAGTTGAATGCATTTGCACTGAAAATGTTTTGGATCTTTTGCAAAGCTCAGTTAAAAGGGTCAGGTTGGCACAGTAATTGTTGATAGCAAAAAGGAAATTTTCAGAACAACTTTGCTTGATTTATGTAATTGCATTTTCTGCTGGCCCTTGGAAACCTACAAATAATCTATTTTCTCTCAAAATCTTGCACTGCATATTTTGAACCTGTCACACTTCCTTGCTTCAAGTGTACAGTAAACACTGGCTTTCTTTAATGTTTTTGCCATTTGTTAGATGCTAAATTTCCCATAATGTCAGAAAGATGCTATGCAGATGACAAAACGATGTAAAGAATTTTTGAAGTCTAAGTTATTAGCACTATCACTGCCTTACACTGTTTCAGTTTCTTCCATACTCTTTTTCCACTGTCTGTGTAGAGTCCTTTCCTTCTCAGAAATATGTATCAGGAACTTGACCCACAGTATCAAAAAAGTACAAATTTTATTTTACAACTGTGTCAGTAGCTAATCAAAGTGCACTGGGACAAAATCTCCCCTGCCCCATCAGCCCTAAACTGAAGGCAATATACACTGGAAAAATGGTTACTAGAAACCATTAACATCGGTGTTTCTCTGCCATGTCAATTAATTTGCAATCATCTCTGTGTCTTACTGGAAAATTATTTAATCCTACAACTGATTTAAACAGCAATACATTACCCAGAAATCATAACTCTAAATTTTGTACACTCCTTTTCATAACGTTTCCTTTAAAATAACTAAGCAATAGGGCAGACCAAAATACACTTGCTGAGGTTAAGAATTTGCATGCTGAATTTTTGACAGAGGGAAATTTAGCAGACAACTAAAACTCTGTTCACAACCTAGAATATGCAGGCACTGAAGCAAAAGACATCCAGGCATCATCCAACCAGCTTCACTGACACCTAAAACTTACCATGCTGCTCTCTGTTTGGCATGAAAGCCAAGGGGCTGTGGCCTCCCATGCACACCCTTCTCCAACCCAGAAACCATGGAGAGAAATACCTAACCCTTGCCTCTGGAGCTTGAAGCTTATCTGTKCTATGAAAACACAGCTCAGACCATATAATCAGCATAAAAGGGATCTGTAACGGTCATTTCCCAATCCAAAATACAGGTGTAGAAAACAGATGAAAAGGACCACTCCTGAGTACCTTTTGCATACAAATGTAGGTACCTGGCTGCCTGAGTCAGTGATCTAACCACTAGGCTTTTATGCCATAGGTGGGTGAATCCACCWCTGCTGCTGCTGGCATCACATTTTTAAACAGCTATGACTGGTAGGAAGAGGACAGCATGCTCCGGGTTTTACAAGAAGTAGAAACAGGTAAGCTCAGAACTTGATCTCTTCATTTCCACAATGGGAAGTTAGGAATGTGAGCTGTTCTTTTTCTTCCAAGCTATTTTAATGAAACTACTAGAGTTCAGAAACCCAAGCTCCAAAGAGAGCAGAACCACTTCTAGCCAAGTACGTGGCTCCACCCAACATGTMAATGAAGACAGCTCTAGGCAGCTGACTGCTCTGCCTGTTGAACTTCAAAGCCTCTAACTCTTTGCTGACTATATTGTGGGAGTGTTGATGCTTCGTGCAGGTGTTCTGAAAATCTGCTGGAGCCAGTCACCTATTTCAGAATCTCACAACAGCTTCACCAGATCTGCCCCGACGCAGAAAATCTGCATCTTGTCTCAAATGCCTGTGCTGTTACAGCTCATCTCGGCCCTGGGTAACTGCAGCACTTCATGTGGGCTACAAGCAATTGAGGACAGAACAACCTTTATATCATGCAGTATATTGACAAGAATGTACCTGTTACAGAATTGCATGAACTTGTACTTCCCCTTAAGCAAGAGCAGAACTACRTATTATTATTTTGGCTATTTAGGAATGGCTAAGGATCTCAGAAATGATGTGGTGATACAGACAGCAAGCAGTTCTGAAGTGGAAAAACTGAATGCAAAGGGAATCAACCTGTTCAGATGGTGAATAATTTTCAGCAAGCAATTTATTATACAACATTACCCTGTTATTGCTTTTGAAACTTTTATGACTGAGGTTTTGGTCATTATTTCAGTTCCTCCTGTGGACTTATTTATAAATGATTTGACTCTTTGGCCCTGACAAGCCACTGATTACAGAAACAGCAGTAGTCATCAGTTCTTAAGAGAAACACGGTGGCGACTTACATGTCTATCTGACAGCATTGCATGTCCCTGATTTACCATGCATTAGCCCAGCACTGTGCTAAATACTGTACTTTTCATGCAAATAATTGAGAGACATATTTTGACAAGACTGGGACTGCTGACTTTTAATGCGTACATGAACTAGGTATTTCTTTTACTGCCTGATGCCAGCTTCTGGTCATTCCCAGGTTTATTTATTTTGCAGGCTCTGTTTGCAATGCTGGGCTTTTCAGCCAGCAGCAGATACAGCATACAGGCCTTAGGGTGAGAACTTTCTAGGGCAGTTTCTGGCCTCAGTGCCAGCCAGCCTGCTCGATGCCCCCCCCGGGCTAGCAACACGAGCTGTACAAGAAATCTCTGGCTGCTGCAGCCCCCTCTCATCCACTCTGGTCTCTTCCTTATTTTCTGCCTGCCTCAGCTTTCATATTTCCTTGAACCACTGTATCCTGTGGCAATTCAGAATATATCTCAGAAGGATAAAGAAAGAAAAATGTGACCCAGAAACTCATTCTTGATGCATCTTTTGTCATGGCTCTAATGATGGAGGTGCAGACTTTGACTCTGAAACCTGTGACTGTCATTACTTCAGGATTAGATGCTATAATATCAGCCATTGTACTGTTTGACTCCTTGTTTCAGCCTTCAACTCCTTTYATTTTGACCAAAATAATTTCATATGTATGGTGGCAGTAAGCACCAAGTATCCTTTCTGTGATGTATCCAAAATAGTAACACTCATGTTCTAAGTCACATACACGCGGAGAGGACACCTCAGGCACACAGGCACAACACAAAAAAACTCTTTCATATCCATCATCCAAGAAGTTCCATTCACTCCTCTTTTATCTGCAACCTAAAGAGAACTTGCTGTGAGAAATGAGGTGGTGAAATCACTACTAGTCAAAGAAGATTGACTTAATAAATGGGAAAGCCTATCAGAATCTTTTCCCATTATACAAGAGAAAGGAAAATGACAGGGAAAAAAAGTAGCTTATTATCTTTTCTTATTCCTGTATTTACATGCTCATTCGATTATGCCTTGCCAAACAGTATTCCCCTCTTAACGGTTCCCTCCTTTACATGCATTGACCTAAACACTCAGGACAATATTTCCAATCAATGCAGGCACTGCTATAAAGATTTAATTGTGCTGCATGTATGTCTGTCACAAAATCACAGGAACTGCCTTATGGAAAAGGAAAGATAAAAACTTATCTAATCTAGATAATGAAACAAGAAGTAATTTTAGCTCAAGTGACGGCAGAGGACAATGCTCTTTCTTTTTCTTATCAGTAAGYCAAGGTAGCAGTTCACTGAGGTAGCTTTATTGTGGCTTTTTCTGGCAGTGTTCTGCTATCCCATCCACACCTGTCAGTATTTGCTAGAGCTCTACATTTCTTAAGGCACACAGCTCTGCTCCTGTTTTCTGTACTGACTTAGAAAGAAAAAAACATAAAAAKCTGAATAACGAATCACTGGGGAAAGAGATGCCAAACAAGTGCACAAACTGCTAACTGGGTAGCAGTAATTCATAATGTTATTTATAATTCATTCTTCGGTGTCACGCTCTTCAAGCAATTACAGAATGACTGCCTCACTATTCATAAAATACATTTCACATATCTAACAACTAATGACTCAAGCTTCACTCTGGAGCAACACATTTTAGTGAACTAAGCATGGGAGTAAGAGGCAGACATACCTGATCCCAACTCATTCTCTGCTTTGCTGCATGGCCTTGAGCAAGTCACTAACCTGTGGATAATTATAATATTTGAACACACAGGGGACCTGTACAATTTAATTAGTTAATGTTTGCAAAGCACTCCAAAGATAAAAAATGCTATATGAATTCTAATTATATGCTATTGTTTCATGGCATTTTATTCCAAAGCACATTGGCATAAACATGTTTAGAAATGTAA